AAGAGGGGGCACCCGTTCTGTTCTGGGAGGTAGGGGTCATCAATATTTTTATATTTTTATTATTTTTTTTTATATTTTATATTTTTTATTTTTTTTTATAAAATATTTTATTTATTTATTTAATTTTTTATGTTTGTTTTTTTTTGTCATTCATTCATTTTACATGCTTCTCCATCAAAATTATCATCACCCCCCACCTAGCCACAAATTATGAACGGTCACTTAATATATAAAAGAGAGAGTCCAAATATTTGTGCTGGTCAAACCTCCAAATATCTTCGTGTGTGTACTTGCTGTCTCGTTCATTCTGTTACTACTTTAAACGGTTGTGTTTCGCGCGAAGTTTCAATAGAGTACTACAGAGAGAATAATATTGTATGTCTGGTGTTAGACTAACATCTAGTCTCTGAAATGAACATATTTTACAGAAGAAAAACAGTATTATATTAAAATATAATGCAATGAAAAGGAGACGAGAGACTTTCATCGTTTTCAGAAACGGTGGTAATCTAGACTTGCCATTCATTCCAGACTTGCAAGGGATGCATTGGGTATGTTTGTTTCAGAGACTGTGTGACTACGAAAGTCTTAAACTACTATGCCATGACTTAAACAAACCCAAATGTTTTTTTGTGTCTTTTCTTTTTTGCTGAACCTGAATGTCTGAGCACAATGCCAGGAACTCAGGAGTAAGTGAGATGATGATGATGATGATGACGATGATGACGACGATAATGAAGATAGAGTGCACAACCATCTGGTTTCGGCCTAATAGTGATCGTAGAGGGAGCGGGCTTATAACCTGCTTATATGAAGCAACTTTTAACGTTTGCCTTGACGCAGGAAACTGCAGTGACATAGAACACACGCTGTGGACATGATGTTCGTCTCTACATGTTCCTTCACGACCACAACAGCTTTAGCTTCACACAGATACTTATTTTAAGAAATATTCAAAAACAAATATTGACAGGCGTGCACCGAACGTGAGCTTTCACCTAGCTAGGTGATTAGGATAATGACTTATTTGTGCCAATTAAAACCGGAGAATTTGACAGTTTGTTCATAGATGATTTCATCATGAAGATTGACAAGTTTTAGCAAAACATAAAGATGCTTAGGGGTGTTTTCATTCGACAAGCTTTATCTCTTAGGATGTATCAGTACCATCTGTAGTCACCCCTGACAAGCACTATATCAAATATAAATAGGCACTCACTTAGCTATTCCTCACATGTAATAACTCATTTTATTGTGAAAATGAAGTGTGTAAATTATTTTCCAAAACTTTTGAAAAAGCAACTATTACAATGAGTGAGAAGAGGCTCTATCATCCTCGATTATAGTATTTTTTGTGGATGCATTGTTTTACGCCGCACTCTGCAATGTTCCAGAGTAAAAGGGGCGGTAGGGTAGTCTGGAGGTTTGTGCGTTCGCTCGTCACGCCGAAGACCCGGGTTCGATTCCCCACATGGGCACAGTGTGGGAAGCCCATTAATTGCTGGTGTCTTCCGCCGTGATATTGCTAAAATATTGCTAAAAGCGGCCTAAAACTAAACCCACTCACTCATTCACTCCCGAGTAAAATGATTGGTGGCCTGAAGACAATGGTGTTCCGTCAAACCAGTGGTTGACGTTATAAGTAATGTCGCACGATGTCGGAGCACAATGACACGCAACTAACCAGGCTTGACCAATTAACTGATCGATTGCGTCGCCTCTTTACTACAGGTTGGCAGGGGCCTATAGCGTATCCCGATATCGTCAAGGGAGATAAGTAACTGTAGTATGTCACTGTGCATTATCCCCAATCCATTTTCAAGGTAGACGCCATCATATTGATATCACCTTCTGTGTTTTCTAAACCATGTGTCCTCGATCACATTTTGTTGTTGCTGTTGATCAGCATCGCATTCAGCACTCCTCCACCTGAATGAAGGTGGTGTGTAACTAATCCAGTTCGGACCAGACAATCCAGTGACTGACATCATGAGCATCGATATACACAATTGGGATAGGATGACATGCATCAACAGTCAGCGAGCCTGACCACCCGATCCCGTTAGTCGCTTCTAATGACAGCCGTGAGTTGTTCAAGACCAATTCCAACTCGCATCTACGTGGGTCTATCGATCGAGAACGGAAAGAGTAAATATTATATATTTCCCTGTCTATAATTTTACACCAGTATTTCATGTTTGTATTTGCCTGTCCGTTCAACAATTTCTCGACGTTGTCAGTGCATGTACACTATTCTCATATCCATACCCCCCAGTATGTGAATGTATGTGGCATGTCTGTACCACGGCTTGGATTTCGGGTGAGTGAGTGAGTTTAGTTTCATGCCGCTTTTAGCAATATTCCAGCAATATTACGATGGGGGACACCACAAGTGGGCTTCACACATTGTGCCCATGTGGGGAATCGAACCCGGGTCTTCGGGACGACGAGCGAAGGCTTTAAACACCCCACTACCCCACCGCCCCTCAGGTGAGTGGGTAGCTAAGTGAGTTATGTGTTCGCTGATCATACATCGATCGAACCTTACATTATAACAAATGTAATGTTGAACGCTATTGGTATACACTGCCTGCAATAAATTATTCACTATCCCATTACGTTCTCGTTTGTGAAACTTGTTTTTGCATAAACGAAAACGATGCCTCGATTATGAAATAAATAGAAATCATTAAATTTGATAACTACGTGATGTGTTTGAGAAAAGTTGTTTTGTCGAACAGCTTTATAGCTTTGACATATTGATATTCAAATCAGAATCACGTGCGGGTTTGACATTTAATCGGCATCGAGTGATTTAAATGTTCAAGGGAGACAACTTAGGGATATATCCTATTAACATTACAGTGTTTGAGTGAGTGTGTTTAGTTTTACGCCGCTTTTCGCAATATCACGGCGGGAATCCCAGAGTGAGTGAGTTTAGTTTTACGCCGCTTTTAGTAATATTCCAGCAATATCACGGCGGGGGACACCAGAATTTGGCTTCACACATTGCATCCATGTGGGGAATCGAACCCGGGTCTTCGGCGTGACGAGGGAACGCTTCAACCACTAGGTTCCCCGAGCGCCCCCTATTAACAGTTCCGGAGGTGAATATGTAGAGTAAGCTACATTCACAATACATTCAGTAGTGTTGGAATAGCTCCATATTAGTGAATCATCATGACTATCTGACAGGTCTGTTTGATTAACGCAGAGTGTGACTAAACAGTTCATACGACTGTGAGACCGCCTCCGTGGTGTAGTGGTTAGAGCGTCCGCCCGGAGAGCGGAAGGTCGCGGGTTCGATCCCCGACCGCGTCATACCAAAAGACGTTAAAATATGGTACTTGTTGGTCCCTGCCTGGCGCTCGGCATTAATGGGTACAACAAGGACTGGTCGGCTCGGAGTCAGTATAATGTGTCTGAGTGGGGTATTCATGCTTCACTGCGGCATGGTATCTCAGTGGGCTAGCACTATAAAACCAGCTTCAAGTCTGGGCTAGTACAAGCAGCCGCACATACACATACACACGCATGCACGTCGTCATATGAGCGAAATATTCTCAAGCACGACGTTAAACCCAATTTCACATCACATCATACGACTGTGTCTTCCAGCTAATTTAAATACAGCGAAACTCTGTAAGTAAGGACCCCAGTTGTAAGGAAATGTTGTAATCGGGATGATACATGTGGAGAATTGTATTATATTTTTTAAAAGGTGTGCCTTGCAGAGACCATAAAATAATAAAAATAAGATTTTATAATCTCTGTTAATCTGATCAGGTGTCACTGATCCGATAATACTGAACATTTGTTTATATTGACAGTTAGACTGGGAAAGGTATCTTCAGGTTTAAAGGGGTTTAACTGTACATGAAGAAAGTGATAGTTTTGTGGACAAGACCCTATTTTGTTTATGATACTGAAAATTCAGCAACGTCTCTTCATGCTCTTGTATAACGTTGGATAAAAAAATCAATATGCATTTATGGAGAATACGAATTCTGCCTACTGTAGAGAAAAACACACACACAAAATACTATTTTATTCCGGAAATCTTGTCAAAGATTTATGCGGTTGGAGTTGGTTGGGGTTGACAAAGGTCACGAAGGTTCCGCTTGGGAGAGAAGGGTCTTGAACAATAACAAATATAAATTCTGATAGAAACTTTATACAAGATGCAAGATATTTCCAATAACAATATTTATATTATACAGGGTCGTATCAGGTTGGTGATTATTTTAGGTGACACAATTTTAGGATTTTTTAGTAGATTTGGAGGCTGGGTGTAAATATTTAACCAGGTCGTCTCTGTAATCAATTACCGGTCCAAACTGGGAATAAGTATTGGTAGCCCATGTAGGCATGCGCTAACCTTATAACACACAACTGTTATTACAGCAGGGATGCTTGTATGCGGCGTTATGCATATATGCTGGTTAGTTTCTAAGCATCTGTGCAGATAATAAAATTGCACGTATTATTTAGAAAATGGAGGTTCTTAACCAATGGAAATGCCTGAAATGGTATTTAAGTTTAATGTCGGGCTTCAAATCAAACTAGTATTGATTGGTGTGCATACCTCTGTGTTACTGCAGCTCAGACAAATCTCATCAGAGTTCAAAGTAGGACAAAGGGACAATGCCCAAATACCCAAACAAGCGTTATACTACTTCACATTTTTCCGTTTTCGCTTGAAAAATTACTTTGACGGAATTAGTGCAGTCTGGTTATGTTTATAGATTAAATAAAATCTCCATCATATTATTCGTCTACAAAGATGGTTGACTTTTTGTGTGTTCTTCGATGAGTTGATGAATGCGACAGATGGCCCCAGACCGTGTGTGACTCACGATATTGATGATACATCGCAGTGCGAGCCTGTGAGCTCCCCTTACTTCCTCGTACTGGCAGGCTAAACCAACGCCAGCCGCGTTCGGCGTTCTCCTCGCGAAGCCCAGACTCGTCTAGAGGGCGCTACAGCGCTAATTAGCTCAGTCTGAAATTCACAACCATACCGAGGCAGAAATCTTTTGTCATGGCGGGACAGTGAGGCGCACATGTCTTCCGAAGAATTTTTGACGTAACCCATGATTAAGTAAGTTCTTTTCACGATCGGAAACTTAGTGAGCTATTTTGTGTGTATGTAGTGATTGTATGTACGGATGTTGACTGACATACATAGATTCAGGCGGTCGGTTTTCGCTGTCGTTCTTTCTTTATGTGCCAGAACATGGCGTATTTGTTTTGCACTGTTTCTAGACAATGAGTCAGTGGATAAATTTTTCCCGATCGTCGTGTTTACGTGGTTAACAGTGTCGGTTATTACATTCATTATGTTCGGGAGGTTTTGGCGATTCTTGAACTGACTTTTCGTGTGTTGTAAATGAGGGGAAAAGGTCATTGTTTTGATTTTCCTAAGTTCAGTTCAGACAAGGCATCTTCTTACAAGAAATCTGATTGGCTGAGACAGTCGTGTCTATTTCTAATGTGTAACTTTTTGTCACATTGTTATATTTTCGCGCACATGTTGATTACGCGCGAGCTTTTATATGAATGAACAGAGAACAATGTATCTTTTCGTCGCATAGAATATTTGGGTTACTTCGCATATGTTGACATAACAGGGAAATCAGCTGATCCAAAAATAGATTATGAACTCGCTCGTCGTCACGTCTCTATGTACAAGACTGAAGTGATTTCGTTTGACCTTTCGGTGGCTGCTGGAACACCGAAATAATTTGCCTAGGATCTGCAGGTGCCGTTGTCACTTCAAAATGTACTAAATTCCCTTCGAGTTTTAGGTGTGTTCGACTGCCCTGCCGCCAATAAAGGCGCGGGTCACAGTCTGGTGGACCTGGGAGCCTCTCACCCAGTCACTGGTAAACAAAGACCATCGAGAAAGGTTGTAACACGATCAGTTCAGATGGTGAAAATTCAAAGTGCCTTTGTCAAATATAACCACATTATTGTCTGTTATTTGAAAGAAGCTGACCTGCAGGCATCTTTGTTAAAATAATGTCGGTCAGAATTGATGGAACTGAATTGAGAAGTTGGAGTCCTTTGTGTCAAATTGGGTTCTGAAAACGTGGGATTTTCGTTTCAGCAGTGTCTGACAGTGATGGGAAAGGATGAAGTTGCTTTAAGTCATGAAAGTTTTTGTTTGTTTTTTAAATATGTTGAATTGGTGTCATCCGTAAGTTGTGTTTTCTGTTCATTGTCTCAAGATATGAGTTGCCATCAGAATCTGATGATAGTTGGACAAATTTGCAACGTCTTTTGTGTGTTTTGCAATGAAAGTTTTTTGCATTTGAAATATTCTGTAAATTGATCAATCAGTTCATTGATTGATCAGTAAATGTGAGTTAAGGGGTCGCTTTTCTCTAAATCTTCAAAGCTTGTGGTGTATGTAATCACTAATTTCACAACTTTCCCATGGATTTTGAGTAAGAATTTGGTCTAAACAAGTCATGTCTTCGCTCAGTGCAATCACTGGATTGAATTGATTATTTACACACTGTTGCAATATTTTTAAGTGCAGTGTGAACTTACACTACAAAAGCCTTTAATTGCTACATTAATAGAAAACTTTCAGTGACCTGTTTCAGTGAAAACAATTAATCTGAGATTCGTTCTGGTGGATGCCCTGTCTTGATTACAAATAGGACAAAATCTATTCATTTGACTGTGCTTGCTTATTGCCAAATGCAGAGTGCATAATTGTGGCCATATTTGATGCACAAGAATGATAAAACTCTGAATATACACAAGCATATTTTTTTTTGTTTTATTTCCCAGCAGATAATATTCACAAGCATATTTGTTACTACTATAATGCACTAGACACATGGATCAAAGTTAGGCATGAAACTCAAGGGGTCCTTGACATTGTGCTTATGATTAGAGGTAAACATCTCGAGGTCCCAGGGTTCTAATAATCCAGGAGCTGACCCCCACCTCGGTCACGACCCCCTCTTCAGTTCGTTTACTGATAATGGTAGCCCAGTATGTTATCAACACATTCTTGCAAATATTCCCACATTTAATTTCAATTTGAGACTGCTGCATTCATATCAAGTGAATTGCATGGGTTTTCTGCATTTACAATGCATGTAGTTAATGCGAGAATCTTTCTTTTATGAAGACTGTTATGTTAATAGATATGTGCATGTGTGTTATGAAAAAGTCATACAACCAATTGATGATTTGTATGTTTCATCAGTTACACCTGGTATATCTGTTTTTAGGGCATGTATTTTGGAAATATCTCACCAAAATTGTTTCTAAACTCGAAACAGTTTTGGTAGTTTTTCCTAATGTGGAGTAATGACACTGGTTATTTTTGTGACTATATACATGTGGTTAACCTAATACAGATCTGATGAATAAATTTGTTGCGACCAAAGTATTTTTTGAAGGGTGAGTGAAAATTACATTGAAAAACTAACATTAAAAAGACATTTCAAAATTCTTATTGTCACAGTCATGTCATGACAAAGGGCTGTTCAAACTGATGAATTCTCAGCCTCCACTTTTTAAGACTAGCCAGATTATATCCCAGCCAGTGTGAGTCTTTCTCCTAAAGAAAGTCAGCATGTGACATTAAGTTTGAGTTACTTGTTCCCAAAATTCCAATTTTGTTGCTGTCAACACTCTTTTATTGTGTTGAGGCACTCGTCAAACTGACAGGGAGAATGTGGGCCTCATGCTCAGCAGATGCTTCTTTGTTGTGGCTTCAGCTGGCTTGATCATCATGAGTTACTTCCCTTAGACTTGACAGCCTCACTTATCCATTCTGAGAGTGTTAATGATGTGTATTGGTGAATGTTATAGTGGTAGGTGGTATTGCTGTGTTGTTAAGCTGCCATACTTATCGTCTTGTGGATCTGTACTTATGTTCCTTCCGGTGTGTTGAGTGTTGGTAGGTTATGTACAGTTGAATATTTATGATTCAGTAGCCTTTTCAGTTTGTGAACGTATACCTTAAAATATAATGTGACATTAGAGGCGTATCAGCCTTATTGTGACTACAAATTCATGAAAAATACATTTATCATCAGTAAAAAGTGTCTACACTTCAGTTAATTGTTTTTACTGTTTTTCTAATGGTATAAATCTTTCCCAAACTTCTAGTCTATTATCTGACAAGCATTTTCAGTTATGTAAGCTCATATTATAATGGTTCAAATATTTAATTGTCACGTTATTGAAAATGTTCTGAAAACAATTTCTACAACCAAGTTTGGGTTCTCGTCTGTGATATTGGTAATTTTAGTATGATGGAGTCTGAATTTGATAACTATTGGATGTTGTTACGGTTGTGATCATGATGGTAGATTTATGAATTAGATGTTGGTTTATATTATTCACGTTAAAAAGTTGAAATGCACCAAGTTACTCGATGAAAGAGGGCTAACAACTTATTTTGTGCTTACAAATGTATTGGTTATAATTTTGTGGTCTTGTTGGCGCTATGGTACAACAAGATGGAATTAAATTTTCTCCACTTCTTGTTTCCCACACTGATGTGTAAGGGATGGGTCAATATGGGACCTAAAACAACATTTACTCGCTGAATAGATGATTCAGAGTATGGGGGTGGTGGGTTGGCCTTGTGTTTAAGGCATTTGCTCGTCACGCGGAAGACCCAAGTTTCATTCCTCACATGGGCACAATGTGTGAAGCCCATTTCTGGTGTGCCCTGTTGTGATATGGCTTGAATACTGCTAAAAGCAGCGTAAAACTCCCCTCAGTCACTCAGAACATGGGTAAACATTTTTAAAATTTGGAATAATAGGACATATATTTTAAAGGCTTTATTCATGGGATGATGTAAAGATAATATACTATGTAAGATCTTTATTCCACTGGGAAGTACCATTCTGGAGTAACAGACAGGTTTGATTATCCTAAAATTCAATCCATTCACTAGTTCAGTTCTGTAATGAGGGCCTTGAGGGGTAGGCAAGTGGTTGAAGTATTCCTGGTTTGATCAAAGACCCAGGTTCGTTTCCCGAGGAACTTTGTGCAAGGCCCATTTCTGCTGTCCACCACAATGAAACTGAAATATTGAAATTGTTTGCCTAAAACCCATTTCACTCAACAACAAGACGATAAATTTTGTGCTATACTCAATCTAGCTGCTGCCAAGGTATTGTATGAAGCACTGGCCTTGAGTGTTCTGTGACAATTGGATACACCTCATCATGTGATGTAACATGCTGACAAATTACATGGTTGTATCTTTCTATAATACATATTGTCATGGCAGCTGAAATTCATTTGTAAGCAATAAGTTAGGATGGATGAATGACAAAAAAGACTCTTTGTCGTGACTTTATGGCCATCTGGTGCCTAATGTCAAGTACACTGATCTACAGTGACGAAACAGGTCTTGTGTAACACGTGTGCACGATATATAGAAATGGGATTTTGACTTATTTTACACATTACCATGTACTTTGTGACATGGAATCCTTTATCATTTGATCCTTTAGGTACAGTCTGTGGTTGTCATGCTCTCTTTTGTTCTATATAGAAAGTCAGTATTGTTACTGAAATCAATATAAGATGATGCCAAGAGACAATTTCCACCTACTAGACAGTTTGTAAACCTGTACGTTTACCATGTTAATGCAATCAACAGGGTGTTACATGATACATGGCGTTGATGACAACTGATGCAATGAATCCTTTCTGAAGTTGTATGACTCCCTCTACCTCTAGAAATAATGTAACTCTCCCATCTAACTTGGACTAAACTGGGAGTCCGCACAAAAGGAGAGTATTTGATAGTTGGACCTGTACTCTAAAATTTCATCTGGAAGAAGCTGATCATGAAAAAACCCGGCAGGTCAGCTTGATCTTCATTTGTTTTAAAATGTTTACCAAGAAAAACGACTCAATCTACATCATAAATTTCAAGAATACTACCAAGGGATAAAAATTTTAGAATTTTTATAATGTTACATAATTAGTGAAAAAACAATCAAAATATTATTTTTTGTTTTCAATTTAAATGTGATTATTTGTTACTATCAAAATTATATATATTCAGAGACTAAGCTTTAGCCTAGGGGAGTGCTGCAGTGTCAGATG